AGATGGTTTCTCCCCCAAGATTTAAGGAAGCGGCTTTTAGTCTTGAATCATGTGCCTCTGGGCACTTTGAAAAGTGCAACTTCTGCCTATTTTTAAGACAAGGATGTAAAAAGAAAGATAGGCAGAAAGAATAAAGAAACCACCTGTGTGGCTTTGATGAAAAAGGCAGGCCATAAAGTTAGCAGCACATGGATAAGAATTTAGTTATGGAAAGAATGCATCCTTATATTCCAGCACTTCTTTGTTCTGCTTTTTCTACTAGAGGATGATTTCTGGGTAAACACATACCATCACCTCTGTAAATTAGTCTACTTGACATTGATTTTCCATCATGTTAACCTTGCATACCTGTGAATGATTTACGTATGAGAACGTCCATCCTTTTTTAGGAGTAGTTTTGTTTTTTATGACAATCTTTCTCATAAATTGTGATAAGACTATTTGGATGAATTGTTAGATGACCAAAAGTTAAACAAGACTACAATGGAAAAACACACACCACCTACTGTTACTGAAAATATATCTTTAAAGTAGTCTCTTTAGAGCTGAAAGTATTCTTTTTAAAAAAGGAAGATTGCATCATTAGTGCTTCTAATGGCATTAAAACTTACTTTTGCATTGGTTCATATATTAACAGAAAAATATTATGGTCAAGACTGAATGTAGAAACAATCCCATTTATCATGGAAGGTACATAATTGGAAATAACAAGCCTACAAATAGTTTTTGTATGTTCTTGTATGTCCTGCACTGCCCTTGCATGCCATCACTGTCCCTGGGAAGTCGGAAGTGGGTGCAGGCTGTGTTCCTGACAATAGCAGGGTTGTAGTGGAAACTGTCTTCACCACCTAAGTTATGGGGCCAGATACAGTGAACACCATACAAGCAAGCAGTGGGTCTGCCTGCCCTAAATTATGCCTGTTCATGTGACCCTATCATTATTCAACAGGATCTGTGCCCTTTGCCCTGGATCTCATTTCTACAGGGTTTAGACAAGTGTCAGACCCTTGGAATGCTGCACAATAGTAACCTTGATTCCCTGACTTTGCTGGGGGAAAATTTGAGTTTAAATCTAGTGTTGAAATTATCTGGAATGCTTTGTAACTATGGGAGTCAGACTCTTCCTGATACAAAAGAAGCCCTAGCCCTTTGTCAGAGATATCTGCCTTATATTTGGCTCAGGCTTTCTGGTCTTAAGGACAGATGATGCATTTATAAAAACTAAAGACTCCTTGTTGTTTCTGTTGTTGCATTTGATACATGAGGATATTCAGATGATTCCTCTTTAGGTTTAAGTTTCAAGATATCATCTCTAAAGCTTTATCTTTCTAATTGTCAAAATACAACCCTTTCTGTAAACAAAACAAAACAGTTCTTGGCAAATGATACTAGAATAAAGATGGTGGGATATTTAGTGTTTGGTGGATGAACAAGTGGAAAGAGGGTATATTTTGGAACCAAAAGGCACCACT